TTCCCCTGCTCCTCTCAATGCTTTCATGTACTGGCAGTAATTTGTTCTTTAAAAATAAGGGGGCATTCCCTCGCTTCACCTAAAAAGTAGAAAGAGCTGGAATTAATTAATGCTGATGAGAATGACTGATCACACTGTAAAGGGATGTTATTTTGCCAGTTATTTACAGAGCCACTGTAAATGTGGCTGAGTTGCAGGTGGCTCCTCTGAATGGCAAGGAGACAGAGGCCACAGTTACTTGGCCCTCTCCTGCTTGCTGAGGCAAAGAACCACCTGCAATACCACCCATTAGGATCACTGCAGTCTGATTTAACTTTCAATATAAGCTTTTTGCAGAAAATGTGGCTTTGGTGCCACCTTAATTGTAGGAGTTGCCTAAAACCAAAATGTAAGTGAGACCTGTGAGCTGCTCCTTTCTCACCAGCTACTGCCTGCATTTGTATATCAGCATTTGTATACCAGATGACAGCTGCCAGCTGTTTAAAGGTGGGCTGGCTTTGACAGCCTGTTCTTTGGGCTGCAAGATCTAAAAACACAAACCAGCACTTGGGATTCTGCAGTACTTCCTTCCACAGGTCATACACAGGTTTTAATGATTCTTCTGTGAGGTACTTATTAACTGAGAAAACAAACCATGGGCTTGGCCAAGGTCATTTTGCAAATCCTACAGGGTCAGACAGAAGAATGGGGAATACTCAGACCCTTCCCTGAAGCAGGGGCTGCCCTCTGAGCAGGGCAGAGGCCACAGGGAAAGCTCTGATATTGATGATGATGGGTCAAATCAAATCACAGAGCTAGGCAACAGCAGGTGACCCCAAGGGGAACATGTCCTGCAGGACAACCTCAGTTTACTTGCTGTTCCTTGGAAAACACCAAACTCAAAGCAAATCTTTGGTCAAATGTGTCTCATTCTGTTTTCTTTTCCTCAGCTGACACTAAACCTGAGCTACTTTTTGCACTCTTTGGTGAAATCAAGCTGGTGCTGATTTTCTCTATTACATTCCAAATTACCAGCTCAGTGATGCCTTGACTGGAAACAGTTCTCTCATGGCTTCTGCCTGGTCTGTGGGCCAGCAGCATATTTGGGCTTCTCCATGCAGCAGGAATTCTCACTACTGGAGCCTCTCTAGGCCTCTTTTCATGTCTGTGCAGGAGATACTCTACTTGGCTGAACTTGAACTGTGCTGTTCATGGCAGCACAGGAAGAGTTGTTTCTCTGATCCCCTTCCTTCTGCAGCAGGGCAGATGCACAAGGACCAGTGCAGCTTGTGTTTTCACCCCTGCAGACATCCTGCAGCTGTCCTGGTTTGATCCTAGGAGCATGCTGAGGGGCAAGGCAGTATTGGGAGGACTAAGGAGGTTTTGGCCTGTGACACCATGAGCAGATTTGGAGAGCTGGACACCAGCTACAGAGTTGTGTCAGAGTGTGTGTGTGTGTGTGCTGATTCTAGGTAGGAAGTAGGATAAAGAGGCAGAACCCTCATCAAAGCTCCAGGCCTCTCCCTCCTGACTTATTTCTGCATGTTGTGTTTTCCACCCTGAGCTGGTTACCATGCTGGTATGAACCAGAGTCCAGCTAGAGCAGTTTCAGATGCTCTGACCTGCAGCAACGCCAAAGGTCCCCACTGAGGCCTTGATGGACCTGCTGAGCTCCCCAAAGGTGGCTCTGTCACACTCCTGTGCACTCTGGGATATTTCCAAGGGTAAAAGGAGGCAGAGGTTGAGGCTGCTGGCCATGGATCTCTCCATGCCACTGAATGGTGTCTCCCCTTTCCATGCTTGCTCATTCTGCCCCTGCAGCCTGGGCAAGGACAGTGGTTAACTTCAGCTCCCAGGGCACGGCTCAGCCAGGGTCCCACAAAAGCAGAGGTGCAGAGATTCACCTGCTCCTGAGGGATGCTGCTACAGCAAGTCTCTGGAGCTGGGCTTAAAAGTGGTGGGATAAGGAAGCATATCCTAATGCAGCAATGTTTAGGGGCAGGAACTTAGTCTTTTCAAGTTGTTTCCATCCTACAGACCTCTACAAGGCCAATGGATTTCAGATTTTCCTGCTTTATGCCCAACATCACTTTTCTAATCCAACTTACCTTTTGTCCTGTGCTTTCCTTCTGGCAGCAGCTGAAGACATCTCCAATGTTTCATCAACTGAATACGAACCATTGTGTCTTAGTAAGTCTTCATAAATAATTCCTACCTGTTAAACTTGGGTGATGAGTCTGCACAGTGACTGAGAGGCTGTACTGGAAAGGGATTTATCTCTTCTCAAGTCTTCCATTGTGGGTCAGCCTCTAGGATGCATTTCTAAGACTCCTCCACTGTCATGGTGTGATATCTTAGGTAGATTGAGACAGACTCATAGCTTTGAACAGAATAATTGACAGCCAAATTGTGTCCTAAAGCTCCCTGCCAGACTGCCTGCAGGCATTATATGGGTTCCCAAGAAGGCCCCTTTCCCTTGCCCTACCAAGCCACAGAGAGCAGGGACAGGCCTTCCCAGGCATTTCCCCTGGGGAAGGCTGTGAGAAAGCTCAGAGAAAAAAATAAACCAATTCTTATCTCCACGTGCTGGCACCTGTTGCCAGGCAAATGTGGAATGTGTTATGGAGATTTGTTTATCAAAGGATGGTAGTGTTTTAGTTGGTGGACCAATGAGGTCAAAGCTGTATCAGACAGGCTAGAAGGGGTTATGGGTTTCTTGAGAATATAGTATTAATACAGTATAGAGGAATAAAGCAATGGTTCAGCCTTCTGCATCATGGGGTCAGTGCTAATTACACCCATGTCAGGGGGACCCAGCTCCAAACAACCCGAGGTCCCACCACTACTCCAGAGTCATCCACCAGCTTAAGAGCCAGGCCTAGAGGAAGGATGCCAAGGCAGAGTGATGGGGCAGAAGCCATCTGCCCTCTCTGGTGAAGGAAACCTCTCATGTTCACAGCCTCCCATGGGCTCACTTCACTTCTGCTCCCCCAGATGTGAACTTCTGCAGGCAGGCAGCCACGTGCTGCCCCTCGGGCATGGATGACTACGGGTGGATCGCAGCGGCCGTCGGCTGGAGCCTCTGGTTCCTCACCCTCATCCTGCTCTGCATGGACAAGATCATGAAGCTCAGGCCTGACGAACCCAAATACTTGGTGGCCTGAAGCAGAGAGAGCCAGCGAGCAGCAGCACTGGGCGGACTGACAGAACATTTCAAACATTTGCTAAGAAACAAAAGGGGAAGGGAAAACATCTCCAGCCCAAAAAGGCCCGATCCAGGCAGGGCAACTGCTGAGGCTTCACCCTGGAGCTGCCAGCCAAGGTGTGGAGCAGGCAAGTCCCTGAAAGCCACCATGTACCTGCCACAGTACAAAACTCCCAATTGTCCCTGAGCCCTCTCGTGCTTGCTGTGAGCACAGCAACAAGAGGAGAGGCTGAGGGACCAGTGACCAGCCTATAGCACATTGCCTCATCTATGGGTTTGACACAGAAAGTGGGCAAATAAAGCTACTTTCTGGAGCAGCAACATTACCAGAGCCATTACTAAGCTATAGGCCAGGTCACATCAGTAAATGGAAGTAATAATTGACTTTACCGAGGCCTTTTCACTCACTAACTTGCGATATTTAAGTCTATTCACTGATACATGGGAAGACTTATGGAAACTTAGGGATTGTTTGGGCTGGTTTGAAAATAAAACTCATTTTTCCAGAGCCATTTAGATGTGAAATGTGTTGCAGGAATTGAATGTTGGTTGTATTTATTCAGCTTTCACCTGCCTGAAACTAAGACAAGATGAACTGTGGCAAGCAGGTGTAAACCAGCATATCCAATTCATGCACAAAACTGTTCCTATTATCCAAGATAATGAACACTTTTATTGATTGAAAGACTCTCACTGAGTGGTTTATATGGATAAAGCTTAGAAATTGTTAGAAACAGGATTCTCAGAAGATGTATTCATGCCAGGAGGGTTTGCCTGCAATCAAACTCTGATTTGGTGCAGTTGCACCAGTTTTATTTCTATCTCAATAAATCAGCATTAAACCTACCTATACCTACACAAAGTTAGCAAATCTGCTAGAAATCAACTGAAATTAGGCATAAAAATTTACTTTTTATGCTTAACTTTTAAATAAAGCTACTCAAACACCATTTGAGATCTTTATCTGCTATAAATAATTATACTCTCCCATCAGCTCATCAGTATGTTAGTAACTTCATGAGTGAGAAATGACAGAAATCAGTTTAAGACTCTTCCTACTGATTCTGGCACAAGTAACACTTCAAATCAGGACAATTTGGTCACTTCAAAGTGATGGGCAGCTGTCCCTTATCAACTAGCCCCCATCAAGAGGAACAGGGACAAATTGGACACTGAGAAAAAGAAAATACGTCCTTCCCTATCATTATTATCACTTCAGACAAAAAATTCTTTAAGAGTGAAGTGCTGAACAGAGATGCTAATGTCAGGAAAGTAAATTTTCAAAGGGAAGGGCTCAATTCTCAACATTTCAATATACAGCAATTAAAACAAAAGTAATTTTCACACAAGAAATCTCAGTGTTGGAGATACTCAACTTCTTGCCACAAAACCTCTCACTTATGTGCAAACTTAGAGAAACAAAGGGCTCTCAGTCAACCCCAAAATGTAATGAGTGAATTGACAGTTAAACCATTGCACTCATGTACTACAAGTCTTCTACTTACATACATAATTTTTTCCTGTTATATTAATTTTAATAACAGAAAACAATGTGAAAGCAATGTGAAAGATATTATGAAAAAAATCTCAACTTACTTCCTTCATGTCTACCTTCTGCAGATCTCTTCTTACGGCATTTTTCTCTGGGTTGGGAACACAGAAGTGCCTGCGGGATATGGCACCGCTCTTCATCATTTAGGGGAAATATTTCATAACAAACATGTTTCAGAGACATGTTTTGCATGTCTTTGAGTATTCAGCATGTGATACAAGCTCTAGATGTCCTTCAAGAGCAACAGCCACAAAGAGCTGCCCAACAACTGGGTAACTGTGGGGCTTCCTGAAGTCTGCCTGTAGAAGCACAGCTTGCTCCTTCTTCACACTCTCCAAAATAGTGCAGATACCTTCAAGGGTTGTAGTGGACTTAAAACACAGTTTAAGTCTTGCATTTTCCTTTGAGGATTCCCAGCTCAACCAAAAGGGGGAGAAAAGGAAAAAAGCCTCATATTTTGTTAAAATGTACTGCCCTCAAGGATTTTGTGTGCCTGTGTTCAGAGGCGATACCCAAGTCTCCACAAAATCAGGTATAAAAATGGAGTGCACCTCACAGATAATTTTTGCTGTGAAATGTATACTTTTTCTAGATCAGTGACCTGTAAACCTCTGATCTGATGTGACAGGGTTGTTTCTTCCTGCATCACCTAACTCTGACATCTGACATTGTCAGGTTTGATCTGCAGCTGCTTCTCTTCAAGTCACTTGATGGAGACACTTAGAAAGACTCGACACTGTAACGAATCTCATGGAGGCACTGCTGTTCCCAGGTGCGGAGGGGGGCATATGTGGCCCGAAGTTTAGAGTCCGACTAGCTGAGGGCGAAAGGCCGACGCCCCTCTGCAATTCCTGGCCAGCACCCTTCGGCATCTGATGGCCTTGGGCTGTGCTGGCTGCAGACTGGCTTACACCGCTGGTATTGGGGAGGAACGGAGCTGACCATTTCCCGGGGGTTAAACATCGGTTTATTGAAGGTGTTGCGGGATCCAAACGCGGGGAAACCAACCGGGAAAAAGTTTCTCCATAGGGAGTGAAACAGGATTATAAAGGAGGGGGGGTGGGTACAGGCGGAACCAATCGGGAAAGGTGAGGGGATGAACTTCACAGAACTGACACTCCATGGAGACCAATAATCAAAAGGTAAAGGAGGTGTCCTGGGACCCCAGCCAGCCACCATCTCCAGAGAGGAGAAGGTTCTCGAAACCTGGGAGGAGAAAGGGAGTGATTGACTGGACCCAGGGAGGAAACAACTTTCACTTATAAGGGAAACCAGGGGAGGAGCAATTACATATCGGCAACTATGAATAGCGGTTACTATAGCAACTTAGCTGACAGGCTAGCAGTGGCGGGAAAAACTGGGGGAACGAAACCATTTTACACATAATAGGGGAGAACAATACATAAATTGGGGGAATAACACAAGAAACTTAACAACACACTACAACACCCAGGTGTGTCTGGGATCCCTAAACAAGGTGGCAGTGTTCCACAGGCTCCAAGGCTATCAATGGAAACATCTTATCTGTTTCTACATATTACAGGGCAAACCACCAAAGTATTATTTTAAAGGGACTCTCTGAGGTACACACTATGTGCTGTACTGATCCTAAGGGCAATCACAAGCACAGTGCAAAACTTTGCAAAAGGAGGAGAAAAGCCCTAATGGTGTTGTCAGTGCTTGTCCAGTTACAGAAAGCACTGAATTAAAAATTTGCAGCATTAAACTGAGACCCTGATATAAAGACAGAAATTAGTAGGCAGAAATGGATTATACATACCTGATTTCTAAAATGTAAAGATGATCTGTAGTCAGCTGTTACATGTCCTGGAATAATTTTATCCAGGGAACACACAGGAGCACTGGTTGTGGGTTATAACCCTCATTTAAGAGCAACTGAGTCACAGTTGAAGGCTGTGATCTGGTTTTGATGCACAAATTAAACATACAAAAGCACAAATTAAATATACATGACTATACAGTACAATGCCTTATAAAGTAGTCCATGAGCAGAGCTGAAGGCTGGTGTTCACATCTATTGTGAATTGTTTCGTGCTCTTAATATCACTCATAATTTAATACCTCTAATTGTGGATCCCAACCAGTGGAATGCTGTCCAACCCCTGCTGACTTCCAGGGAGCTACACAAACATCCAGCACCTGCCTTGTTTTGTTCTTTGGGTTTTTTTCACTGTAATTCAGGAATTCACTGTCATTTTTATTCCCAGAGGAAACCCTGGAGGCAAAGTGGAACCACTGATTTATCAGCATGCATAAATCCTTTTTGTGTTAAACCTGCGTGCCCCATCAAACTGCTACACACCACGTCATGGCACTAAGCTGGTATAGGCACTTACATATCTCCAAACATGTACAAAGTAAGGTGATAGCTACAGATGATGATGGAAATGTTAATGCTCCAGTCATTCATAGTTATTGTCTGTCCAGGACCAAAAAGTTCCTCACTGGAATGAGATGGAGGAAAAAAAAAACTATTCCAGCTCTTATGATTTAGTATAAAGAAAACCAAGAAAATTGTTGAAACCTGAATGGCTGGGGAAAAAAAAAAGTGTGACTAAAATTCACAAATTTGAACCACAGCAGCACTGCTGACCACATCAGCAGAGTTCTTCCTATCTTCTGCACCAAGTTTCTGAATCTCAGTCATGATGATAAGTAGTGCCTGGAAAGGGAAGGGAGATGCAGATGGCACCTGGGAAAGCTGCTGGTCTACAAGTGTTTCAGACAGACAGAGCACTGGGGACAAGTAACTGAGCAGCACTTTCAATAACAAAGGAGAAAAGCAGCAGCACAGCATTGCAGGTAACTGCTTTAATTTGCCTGGAGATAATATCAATCACATCCAACTAGTGATTTTTTGAACAATTTTGAATTTGAGCCTAAATGGACTGGTACTTGATGCACGACTCTTCATCCTTTCAGAGACCACTGCTTTGGTAATGACTCACATTACTCACTGCCTTGATCCTTGGGGTTTTGGAGAATGAGCTACACATTAAGCAATTGCACTTTACAATGATTACACTTACCCAAATCACTAGAGGAATGAAAACTGGCAAGCATCCGGGCTCCCTACCCACATGAAACACACAGACAAGACAGAGGTTAAATTCATAAGAAAAGGGGCTCTGTGCTGGGACTCTGTAGGAATTTTGATAAAGTCGTTACAAAATCTAGGATTTCAAAAACTTATTGTCATTAGTTACTACCAAGGAATGGAATTTGGGCATTCTTGGGAAGCAACCAACCTCTCTTATCCTTACACTCCAGATTCTGCTTATTTTGTGACATCGGTTGTGGAATTCAAAGCTCACTGCAGGTTTCTGTCCCAGAATCAAACATGTTCAATGAGCTAATTTCCAACTCCTAGTTTGCAATAACCATCCAGAAATAAACCACAACATCAACAATGCAGTACTGCAAGTCTGAAAACTGCTTGAAAAAAAAACAGCTGTAAGAGACTTGTCTTTTCCTGTCTGATTTGACAATATGACCTTGAGAGTGTAACTTCTGGAGCAAAGATTAAAGTACTTGAGATTTTCCCCAGCTTTGTCTAAATGGGAGAAGGGAGACACCTGCAAAGCTCCACCTCTACTAGACTGTTGCCCCTTCATGGCATTCCAACACACTGTGTACGTAAGTCAGATCAGTTCAAAAATATTCAAGTTCTAATGTAGCAACCCTCTGGGCTAAAATACATGAAAGAAGTTCCATGCTTTGGCTGGGCAATACTAACATCCTATACAGATATGACAGCATTAGCTAAGAGAGGTCAGCTCCTCCTTGAGAAGATAAATAATGCCCAAAAATATGTCCCACAACATGTCCCCACCTCAAAGGCACACATGTTCTTCATCCTGCCACTCCAAAGCTCTTGGCCAAAATAGAGAATTTTCTGGGACTGGGACCTGTTTATAAGGAACTGCTAGTTAAGGCACACAACAGAAAATGCACATTTCTTCCTTGAGCTAAAAACTATGATAGCTGGAGAAGTGAGGAACATAGTGAGGGCAAAAGATAAAAAAGTGAGTTCAGCTGCCTACCATCACTCACATCACACAACTGGTGACTTCCCTTGGGCTTGAATATACACCCAGCTTCCTCATGTAATCCACCAAATGTGTTTTCAAGCCATGAGCTAACAACAGCATAAGCTGTTGTGGTTCTTGGGGAGTTATGATTGCTGTACACAGCCTCTTTCTAAGATAATGCCATAACCCTGCTGTTCATGGTGCAGTTCAGAGGCACTGGCTGGGTAGGAACTTGCACTTTAGGTGAATCACTCTGTTATTCACCTGTGTCCATGAATGTGCACCACACTGGGGTAGCCAGCACCACAGCAGCCTCCTGGGGCAGGGTGACACACACAGACCTTGGCTGACACTGACTGCTGCTCCCCAGCCACTGAAAGGAGCCTGACCCAAACCACTGCAAGTACAGCACACTGCAAAAGGTCACTAAAATTCCACTTCCTGCTCCAGAGTGGCCGTTTTTAACATTTCCAGCCCATTTTGTTCCTCCTAAAAGCAAGGTTTTCTCCCCTGAATGAAAATCCCCCAGCCACAAGCAGGACCATGTGTCCCATCCTGGTGGAGAACATTTTATAGTACTGAAGCACACCCCACCTTTCACACTGAGTGCATGAAAAATCTCTGTAACATTTCATTTAGCTTCAACAATTTTGGAGCTAAGAAGCAGGCTGGAGGTCAACACTCTGGCCACGAAAAGGAAACCAAGCATGCTAAATTATGTAGCTCTCATCTCGCCAAGTTCTTCTATGTGCCAAACTAAACAGAGACTAAACACAAATGTCAAGGAAAATTGTGAAGAAAGGGAAGAGCCCCGAGGATTCCATGAACCAGATGGTTTAGTCATGGAAATGGATGCAACAGTTGGTAACAGCTTTCTGTGCCTGTACCGACTTTACATCTGATTGATGTTTACAGAAACCAGGAGATTCATTAGCAGATACTTAAATATAGGATACTTTAAGTTTCAGGGGAAAAAAAGTTCGTTTGGTTTCACCCTCTTGCCTTTTAATAGGGCAATTTAAAAAAACCTGGCAAAAGAACTCAAGCACACAGAGATGCAGAAACTTGCAGATTTTCTCCCCCCAGAATTTCCAAGTGGAAACACACATTCTGGCACATGCATTCCACAGAATCCTTTTGTAGCACATGAAAAAAACAGCTTTTCCTGTAGCTGCCAAAAGAGTGGGTCTTCCTTGTTAAGGCTGTTCTTGGACCTGGTGGCTGCTAACTGATGTTACTTTTCTTCCTATATGAAGATACAGATTAGGTCATATCAATTTTTTGGATGCTGGATCAAGACTTCAGCTAATCTGAGAACATAACTTCCAAACACGGCTTTCTGACTTCTTATATTTTACTATCCTGTTGAAAGTTTTAAAGAGAGTTTTCTTCATCAGAAAGCCTCTTTTATTTACAAATACATATTTGTCCTGTGTTTTTCATAAGATTAGGGACTGAAAAGAGAAATTATACATATCCAAATATAAAAAGATGGAATTTCACAACAGCATCATCACCAGCAAAAAAAATGAATGAGAAGTGGCTTAAGTACCTCTAAATTTCAAAGCTCTCATTTCACAGAGAACATATTGTTCCTAAGTACCTGGAACCAGACAAAATTAATTTACCTCCTAGAAGACCACATTTTCTTGAAGTGAAGTCACAGTAATGTGCTAATATTTTTATAAGCATCAGTCTCTGAGCTCACTACAGAATTAAACTGGAGAAGGACGTGGGGTCTGAAAGAGATGGTTTTAATGGGAACACTTAGCAACAGTCAGTCTTCAGTGCTGTCAAAATGACCAAATGAACACCGCCTGATACACTCTTCATTCTTCAAAACCTGGCATTTTGCAGAAGTATTGGCAACATTCGTGTTTACAAAGTTGGCAGAAAACAAATGTTTATTTTTATCCTAGAGTTATCACACAAAAAAACTTAAAAAAAACAAATCATAGTGACCTGTTGGTACTGCTGTTACAACTGTGCTGGTGTTCTGATTCCTTTCAAACCTCAACCGGTGCCCAGGAGGGCTTCACACATAGGCCAGGGAACTGGAAATTAATTTACACTGCTTCATTACTCCCTCAAAACAGTTTCATACAGCATTTTGATGATCATAGGTAAACAGAAAAACGTCAGAGCTTCCTGGTAAAGAGGGAAACATACCATCTTTTTTTCCACAGCAGCGAGCAACAGAGGTTTTGGTTTCAGCCGCGAGTAGGATGGACACACTTCAGGAATAAGGGGTGGAGGACATGAATAAGGGATGGATGTCTTCCACCACATCCTCCCAGCTGTTTTCATTTCAGACTTAGTCCTGCTGCCCTTACTGAACCATGCACTGGAGCCAGGAACAGATGTGGCAGCCAAGGACCACCACACCACACCGGTGTTATGGCACCTGTATTTCCCCACTGCCATTTCTACCCCGGTAAATGAGGCAAATGCAGCCCCTGCCTGGCTGCCCAGTGCTCTCTCTGCAAATCTGTGCTCCTCAGAGCCCTGAGCACTGCCATCTGCTCGTGCTTGAAACACTGCAGCACTAATCATCCTGCTGTCCACTGCCCTAGGGCAGGGCTCCCAAGCCTCCTCACCAACAATGAGCCTGCCCTCCATCCCTGTGCCAGTTTAGTAGCTTTAGTTCACTCTGACCTGAAAATGAAAACACTTCAACCAATCGTGACTTAAGCAAAATGTCCATGTGTATTATGTCAGGTACAGTTATGCAATGGCCAATATTAGTAAATTCGTAGCTAATTTTAAATAAAAACTCTGAAAAAAACAGCGACAAAACAGTTCCATGGCACGTACCATCCTTACCATGGGGATAATGCTTATTACCCTTTGTCCAAAGGGACAGTGGAAACAAGTATAAATATAGAAACTGTCTCAAAACTGTAAATCTAAGCCTATGTTAATGCTCTAAACTGTCACTGACTTCCACTAAAATTATTCAGATCCAAACATAAGCAATGATTTAGGACATCAATTTATAACATAATGCTGGTGACCCTGTACCAGTCAGGCTGGATTGATTTCTGTCCACAAAGCAAACTACAGAGTGGCAAGAGTTTATCGCTGGTCTTGCAAGAGCATTTAGTATGCAAATATGGTTTTTTAAAGATATACATACACATTTCCCCAAATTCAACTGTAGCTGAATATTCCCCTTCCAGTTTTCAGTAATTTTGAAACAAATTAGATACCAAGCCCTTTCTGTTTGAATGCTTTGCTTTCTTTTTCCAGCCTGAATGAGTCTACAAATATTTTCTTAATTATACAAGGCCAATGTTTCACTTTGCAAACATTGAAGATGAAGGAACACTTGAAGCTTCAGCACCAGAAGGAAAACAAGGAAGAGTGCAGAGGGTAGCTCCATTCGGAACCACAGAGCTGTAACAATTATTGTTCCAGTTTAATACAAGTAACTCATAAAGACTTTTTTTCTAAGCAGTCCCATTGTTCCTGACAACCAAAGTGATTCCTATGTGAGACTGGACCTTCAGGACCCTTAAGTTGATACAGTTTGCAATCTTGCAGAACAGCAACACAAACCAGTTCCCCATAAGCACTGGAGAGATAAGAATACTTGTAATCTCTTGCAAAATGTCATCTCAGTTCATTAAAAACTTCATCTACTTCCTTAGAAAAAGGAGTTCATCATTCTTGGACATAATTCCTGTCATTTTTTTTTCTGTTGTTGTTGTTGAAGTACTGAGTTCTTGACCTATGGTTTTATTTATATGTTAGCCTGAATGAAGGTAAGGAGAGAAGAGGAGCACCGTAATATGAACAGATTAATTAATATTACTTGTGATGACACTGATGATTTACCCTGTTTGTCCCCCATCTCTCCTTACTATTCTCATTTTGCTGCCTTTTTTGATTTTTCCAGAGTGCTGTCAACAGAGCTGTGGAAGTTCTTTCCTTTGTGAGAACGACATTGCTGATTTCCTCTGAGTCTTTGCTTCCATAGGAAGCAGATACCTGGCAGATTTGCAAAGGAATGCTAAATCAACTATGGAAGTTCTGCACTGTTGTCTGTTTCTGAGAGAGCCGCAGAAGTTCCTCTCGAATTGCTTTGATAAGAGAGGCTGACGAGTGACCTGGCTGGAGGTCCTCAGTGGAACTGGTGGTGTAGCAAAGGCCCTGGCCCTGAAGGTTGTTGTGTGGAAGCTGAGCAGGAGGAGCTGAGGGCTGCCTGGCTGAAGTCCTCTGCATCTGGAATACTGGTGAGGAGGAATATTCTTGGTGTCCATGCATATGCGTCTGGAAAAAGGGAGAAACCATTATTGTATTTTTTGAATAAATGTGATTAGCCCAGAAAAGACAAGAAAGCAAAAAGGCAAAGAACAGGGGGAAAACAACATGGAGATGCTTGTATCTGCTGCAATGGCTCTTCTGTTACATGAATGAGTGATGTCTCTTATGGAGCACAAAACAACAAGTTTACACAAGATTGTTGGACTGCCTCAAGTTCAGAGAGCCCCCCCCTTTCCAATCTACAGTATGTTTAGGAACTGAAATGGAAGGAGGTGGGGAGAAACCCCCATGACTGTAAATCAGAATTGCCTTCTCTTACCATCAACTTCCTAAAAGACAGCAGGCAAATCACTTTTTCCCCTGGCTGTCATTTCTCCATACTATTTATAAGCAAAGATACTACTATTTCCACCTTTCCTTTTCCTGCCTACTTTGCCTGTTCAGACTACACTTTTGTGGACCCTGTGACTGACCAGTGCCCAGGAAAACACTGTCAATGGAAGAAGCAGCAGAAGAAAACTACTAGGATTTGAAAGATTAGGTTTTTCCATACTCAGTATCTGAGAAATGCTATCCCAGCTTAGGGACAATCATTGTTTCAGGGCAGGGAGGGGTTGATTCTGCCTTTGTTCAATAATATGCATTTCCAAACAAAACAAGAGAGACAGAACAGAAGCCTGAGTTCATGGCTTGTCCTTCTGCAAGACAATCTGCTTACACTAAAACAAAGCATGGATTTACAGTACACAGGGTGACTGCAGCAACTCCCAGTATGGACACAAACAAGGCACATTTTGAAAATCCAGACTCCAGCTGACAACCCTGAAGCAAGTGTTTCCTCTTGCCTCGCACTGCTGAAGGCTGAGAGACAGCCTGAAGTAAACAGGGGACACAGAGGACTGGAAGGCACAGGTGGGAGCAAAGCAAGGTGATCCCCTTGCAGGGGGAGCAGCAGGCTCAGAGCACAGCCACCACAAGCCTGGGAGCACTACCTTGGTCTGGGAACAAGCCTTAAGGAGTAGCAGAGAGAGCAGCCTGATGGGGAAAGAAAGGACAGCAAGGTCAGCTAGAAGAGGATTTGGGAGCAAAGGGGAGGGGAAGGAAGACATTACAGAGCTTGGGAAGGATACAGGGAACCTGCAGTGACAGTGGCAGCGTGTGCAGTGAACACAAAAATGCACGGGAGCAAGTTCCTTACCATCTCTCATAATACAAATGAATAAAATTTAAGCCATTTTGTATAAAGAAGAATTAATAATAGATTCTGAGTCTCTCGTGCAGCTCATGTACAGCACTCCTCCTTTATACTGTTAATTCTGGGAGACAGATCAAGGGGGAAAGAGGCTTTAATAGAAGAATGATAGGTAAAGGTTTTCCAAGTAACATCCTGCCTTATTTCTTATAAAAGAGAGGTGATTTTTTCAGTATCAGAAAGGAATGAATGGGTCTCCTGATTGTTCAGAATTATTCATTTGGCAGTGAAACCTGAAACTAATTCATACATGCAGTATAGAGTTGGCAAACCTGACAAGTACTCTGTGGGTTTATAGGGAAGAGATGACATTAAAAAAATATTAAAAGGAAACACTCCTTGACACGAGTCTTAACAGCAACCTAAATTATGTTCAGGTTACTTTCACATTAAAATGCACTATGTGATTCAGCTGCAATCTCACACTGCACTAAATTACCACCATAAGAATGGTTTCTTAAGGGAAGTTAGGGAGTCTGATGACCACAGTGGCTATTTTTAACACTAAGTTTTTCAAGGTTTTCTTAAATATCTCAGAAAAAGAAAAGGGTGTGTTTCTGTGATTTCACATATAGCATCAGGATTAAACAGGCCTCTAAAACTTCAATACCACATTGGTTTAGAAACCTAACCTGTACTAACCTACAACAGCAAAATAATAGGAGCAAAACGTCTGAAATAATTTTTGCTGGTTTTTAAAGATTTCTTTCCTAACAGAAACACACAAAGATGTGTTATATGACATTATATATGCAAAAATATATAGTTCTATATAATAGCTATACATTTTATATTTTTCCCTAAAAACTTCTAGATAATTAACAGCAGTATGAAAAAATTGACAAAAATATTTTATTGAATCTTCCTTCTTAAGGAATGAAGATTTATGAGATGAAAGTGTAAATTTGTTAATCTCCATTTAATACCCATTGAACTCTGGCCAATTTCAACTGAACTAAATGTATAAATATATATCCAGACATACCCGTGTATGAATAGATAGATAAAATTCACAAAACCAGGCAGCTAATTAGACATCTTCTGATTTGTTATCAGCTTATTTGTTATCATTGAATCTGCATCTGAGTGGCAGAAAAGTCAAGTTAGGCTGTGCTCAGCTGGATCTCTTAGCCAGCATGGATCTCACAGGGATGATCCTGGGGACCTGAGAAACAACTAAGTTTGGTGAGATTTTTTTAGACACACTAGAGTGGGCAGCTGAGTAGAAAAATAGAGTGAAAGGGTAGGAGTATCTTTGGGGAAACACTGGAAACCTGCAGGAAGGCTTGGGAGAACAGTGGAAGGCTCCAGGGGACTGTGGATGGGTAGGAGGTGATGCCAGTGGTGGAGGGAGGTGCAGATATGCAAGACATTGAGCCCATCTGTAAGAAGCCAGGTTTCATTTTTTCTGCTCAGGATTGTATTTTGTGTCAGCTAAGGAAATGCTGTCCTTCTCCTGGCTGCCCTGGGCCTACTGGATGGAGAATTAAGGGAATTGATAGCACCCTGCACACTGGATTTAGGCTGGGAGGTACAAGTGAGAGGTCATGTTCCAACAGAAAATCAGGTATTGACTTCAGGAAAAATAAAGGGGTCAGGATGCTGTGAGGAAAAGAACTATTGCAGGAAGACAAATGCAGATCCCTCTCCAGTTTGTGTGCAAGAAGAATGCTCTAGATTTCAATCTTCCTAAATGCAGAGTTTAATTTTAGAAACTTGCTCTGAATGAGGGAACAGTAAGACAAGGTTTGCGTAGGATCAGTTGAATAATGCACCATAAAGAACATGACCATCATTAAGTAAAGCCTCATTGCCAAAATGAGGAAAGAAAAATTTAGAGCTCTGTCCTAGTGAAAAATCCAAACTGTGGTGAAGGTAATTATTTAATTACAAAAAGCTACAGGTCCATGACTTTTTGTTTGTTTTGGTTTTTTTGCCGATTTTTTTCTTTTTGTTTTTTAATGGGAAGAATCCTTCTTAAAAAAAAAATTGCTCACAGGAAAAAGAAAGTTCAGGCAATACGTGAGCTCTCCTACAACTGCATGACACCAAATTCAAATAAGTTTTAGTTCACTATCTCCTCCTTTTGCCTGTTTATTAATAGCAAACTGAAAAAAAAAATCACATTGCAGTAACATATGAATTGCAGTAACCAGTGAGCAAAAAATGCTGTCAAAGCTGAGGAAATCTTTAAACTGAGATGAAGAAAAAAGAAAGAAAAAAGAAAACCAGCCTGGATTTCAATGACCTGAACAGGAACATGCCCACAGATGTATAAAAGCCATTTTCAGAAAAGAGAGACAAATGTAAAGAAAGGTCAATAAATGGTAACCCAGAGATGTCTCTGAAAATAGAACTTGACACACTAAGATCTCTCATGCAAGTGCTCTCTTAGATGTAAACTGAAATTATGATCTTCCATTCAAATGCCACAGTTTCAAGCACAGAAGGCACATTAAATTAGGGAAACAGATCTTTCAGCTTTGACAGCTGAAGTTTTTTAATAGTATTAAACAGCATACCCAGTTCTCAAAAACTTGATGCTGCTCCTCTTGAGTTTAGTTGGAGTAGAGGCAGTTCAATTTCACCAAAATCTAGAGATAAGCCATCCTGTTGTATTTTGTTTCTGCAAAGCTATGTCACCATCATGCAATACGGCAAAGCAACATCAAGTAGTGTGAACACACACTGCCCTAAATATGCAAAAGGAGGAGATCCCACTTTCTTTCCTCAAGGAAGAAACCAGAAAAAGATAGTTTAAACTAGGAAGCAAAAGAAGCAGCATAAAGTTGTCGCTCTCAAGAGTACTGCAATAAACCTGTTGCAGGTCAGTCTGCTCCAGCAGGCAAATGCACCAAAGAGGGACTGGTAGCAGCCAAGTGTCTCTCTCCTGGCAAGGCTATATGTTACCTTCAACCTCACACATCTGGCTGAATCAGAAATGTCAACCTCTGGAAGCACAGCTGCCAAGAACAAGAAATCACCATGGCTGCCTAGGCAGCACAGGTAAATGAGCATGTGTTCATTTACCACCTCCTGCTGACTTAGGCTAGAAAGAAACTTGTTTAGAAACACCTCCAATGTTATGGGCAAGTATGAACCTTTTTCTGCTTCCCTGACTCCTGCTGTTAGCATTGATACAGAAGATAAAAGAACTTTATGCATACAACATAGGATGGCAGCCTGGGATAACTTAATTCAATGTTTTCTAATGACAATGATCTCAAAATACAGAGGCATATTTCAAAGAAGGAATGGAAAGCAGTATCCACCTCTGCTGGAGCTCAGAAGCAGAACTGCATGAACTGCAGTTAATGGGTGAAAGCCTCAAGCAAGGAAAAAAAAAAAAGTTAGGGTAAAATGAGAGAAAGCGTTTGGAGAAGCAAAGGTGAAAGAACAGCAAGCAGAAGTCAGAAGAGCTAACAAGGGTCTGAAGAGCAAAGCAAAGGATGTCAGAGAAGCAACTAAAAGTATTCCAGGGAGGGAGGAAAAAAAGTTCCAAACAGTAATGCAAGAAAAAAAATACCCAAACAAATCACTACTTTGGAAACTATGGAAATGTGTAAGAGTACTCACTGCATCTCGCCTAGCACATTCATCCTCTCCACGATACTGGGGCCACCCTGGCCCCCCCGGCTGGCCATGCCCTGCTCTGCCTGAGGGGAGCTCCACTGGTTGACCTCCGATCCTGCTAGCAATTCCCACCTGAGTGAGGTGCTGTATCTGAGAACCTTAAAAGCAAATATTGGTTTTTTTTTTTCATCTTCATACACAGTCAAGTTTGCAGGGCAGACATATGATAACATAAAACTTTGTTGGAAGCGGGAGACGAGAAGAAAATGGAGCTCTGTTTCTGTGCAGTTAATAAAAATCAGCAGAAAGAAGGCTGTCAGTGTGGAATGAAGACAGGAAAGTTATGTGCATTTTGTGCAGTTCATGTGAGTGTGATGCATTTCATGGCACTGCACTGAAAGAAGAGGTTGAGATACACACATCTCTGACATGGGTTACTCCTCATTCCAAAAACATGCCAGCCCTTTCCAAACAGTGCTTACTGAAAGCTCTGGCAATGCTTTCATGCCAATTACTCAGCAGCAAAGAGAGGATATTTGCTCCTGTGGCACACCTTATTTGCATCACACTGGCAAGACCCTAACGCTGCAGACTGCCTCCTGTTGTGTGGCTCTGAAGAACAAAACACACGACTAAGTAAGAGTGTGCTTCTCTCAGCTTTGCTCTGTGGTTAAATATTAAACCATGCTGTCCTTAACTAAGGGAAGGTCACAACACACTGCATCTCCTTCCACCCTGAAAGCCAACCTCCTCCTTTCTCCTCTTCCTTCCCTTCCCTTCTTCCCACTGCTTTCAAACATATGCAAGGATAGCTGCCACCATTAATTGCAAGATATACGTAACAACATGCCAGCTTTCCTTCTTCATTAATTGTCTCCCACAGGGAAATGTCATTTACATTTTTATTCTTAAAATTACTATTAATACTTCGTTATTCATTAGAAATGAAACACATTTAAGCCAGAGATACATAAAAGTGTGTGTATGCACAAAAGGGGAGGAAAAGACAAAAACAACAGTGTGATTAACGTGATAGACAGTTTGATCACTTCCCTATTTTTTGAGAGAATATTCCTATTCTCTCAAAACCCCCCAATATTTGAGAAGTTTGATATTTACACGTAATCATGCTGAGGAACAGAAACTAAATATATTAAGTGCCCCCAAACTTTAAAGCAGAATACATATTAACATTTAGACAATAGTGTGAATTAGAGAATAAAATAGTCATTGTTTAGCTGTAATAGTTACAACATTCCTACTATTCTTATTCATTTAACATTTACAGGGAGATGAGAGCAACTATCAAAACTGGGCTTCTGATATATGATCATATTTCCAGTCTTTTTCAAGGAAGAAAATATTTATCTGGGACAAAATTAACTGTAACATTTACATAGCAATACAAAATTTTATTCTTAGAAGTGTTTGCTGCTTAGCTGCCATGTGATGTTACCATCACGACAGCATTGGTGACTACCTCAACCAGATCAGGGAAGGTGATTTCATGGGGGACAGCAGAAATAGATAATTCAATGTAAAACCAAGAGATACTGCTTTAATGCACACAATTCTACAAAGAGAAGTAAGAAACACAGATGTAGAGGAGTATTAAAAATTTTTGCTGTTAGCATGCTGATTGGGGATGCAAAAATTAGTTCATTTAGCACAAAAGGAGGAGTTCAAAATGGAAAGTTAGCATACATTGTAATCTCTAAAACAAGTAATTTTCCATTCTTAGCAAATGGGGTTTTGTGAAAACACACTTTGTGATGACCAGTGCTTGTAAGATACTAAAAAAAAGGCGCCATGCACTTCCTTTTTCTGCAAGGTCCTACGAAAAGTAAAGTTAACCTCATTTTGTCATCATCTTTTTTTGGGCATTGAGGACAAGGACCACCTATCACATATAGCAGCTGAAGGAGAATGACACCTTAGTGGTGACCTTGGCATAGGAACAGACAGAGGAAAGGCTCAGTTATTTTCGTGCATATTTAACCTCAGTGAAGTGTACCTGCAGTGCTTCCAACGGGCCGTGGCCGTGCCACTGATGGCATTTCCTCTGAGTACATTCCCCTGGAGGAGTACTGAACCTCAGGGGGTGGCTGCTCTCCGTGCATCAGCTCTGCAGGCTGAAGGAAACCTGGCCCAAAGTTTTGCCTGTGGAAGGGGAGGCAAGGTTAAAAGAAGTGAAATCACTAATTAGAAACAATAACGTAGGTGTGCCTCGCACAGTGGTTCTTTAGGTGTTTTAGTGTAAATGTAACCTTCAGTGTTGAGGAAAATATTTATATCTGAAGAACATGTTTTAACAAAATGTTACACAAGTGTTTTTCCCATGTTGCAGTCTCAATCTTCAATGCTGAGGAAAATATTTACATCTGAAGAACATGTTTTAACAAAATTTTACACAAGTAAAATTTTTCACATGTTGCAGTCTCCTCAACGCAGAGAAAAAAGTTGACCGATCTTAAGATCTTGTTTTCTCCTTGGGGGAAAAAAGCATCTTCAATGAAAAAAAAAAAGAAAATAACACTTCAGCAATGATGTAGCTGCTTACCTCAGCAACAAAGCTGACTCTACTCAGTTTCTAGGAACACACTTTTGGTCTAAACCAAAACATAAGCTGCATTGCATGTGTATTTTTTGAACAACTATTACTTCATTAAGTATTCTGATAATTTTTCAGGAAGTTTTCAAAACTGTGCTAATATTTGTGAAACTATTCAACACACTAGCACATATGAAGAAATGCAATGTCTACTGAAATTAATGTTTCCTATCAATCAGGCTGGTGCTGGTAGTCACTGTTATGTATTTGCTAAAAAGAGTTAAGAACAGAAACTGTAATCCATCCAACTTCATTATTTGTGTGAGCGTAAATGAAGCAAAGTGAGACAAGCAGCCAGGCTCAGGCACATGGAACTACACAAATGAGGGCTAGGGATGAGTTTTCCATGCTGGGGATGAGTTTTACCACAATGGCATCTAAACCCTCCTAGGCTACAGCCTGCAGTGTATCCCATTCCTCAAGATCTCAATTTTACACCCATTTGTTTTACTGCAAAATCCTGTGACTGCATCTAGTTTAGACTGTTCTTGATTTGTGCTTTATTTGGAAAACTATCCACCTTCATATGACAGCCAGATAGCAAAGAAAGTTGACATAATAAATTGCCTAATAAAGCACAAACAAGTAATTGTAAATAAAAGTACTAGCTATTTGGCATGCAGAGTTACAAGATGGAGAAAGTTAAAGGGCTTCAACCTGTAACAATCCCATTGTGGAAGTCCTAGAATTTCCCCAGGTCCCTCATGTCCAATCCCCAGCTGTCCACTCAGCAGATCCAGAGGAAACCATTTCCAACCACACAAGCTAGTTCAAATAAATGCTTCAATGGGTAGGTAATGTTTAACAACATCACTTCTATTATGTTAATCACTGTAATCAGTAAAGGATGTAATAATCTGGCCCTTTATGTCTGCAGTGTTGAGCTGGAATTTTGAAGCTGATGAATTACTACAATTTTTTGATGTTGTCTAAAGAAAATATTTTCTCAACATTACTGCAAATGTATTCTTTTGGTGCCAATTTTTTGGAGGACGGGAAGTAAATTCTTTACTGCTGATGTGTTTGCACTTGAAAGGTTCACATTTAAAAAGGCTTCACCTTCTCAATCTTCTTTGTAATAGATACCTATAGCTTCTCTATAAAGTCAAAGATCAACATAAGAGCTTAAAACCAGAATACAGCTCTGCATCTGTATCATACAGGCTTTGTAGTGCTCCTTCTTATTTCCAGGCTGAAACTCAGCTTTCAATTTTTACACATCCAAAAAAACCCCAAAATTATCTCCAGTCATTTAAGTCAGGAGATGCTGTTCCAAGAATCAATTTTGCACCACTAATCCACTCTAGCTCAGTATATTTATCTCTGTTGCATGATTCAATACCCATTTCCTGGCAAAAGCTGTTCATTGTGCCTTTATGACTGCCTAGCTGTTATGTGACCTAGGTCTTTTACATTTAATTTTTTCCCCAGGTTGGTTCCACCCCATTAAAGATGCTGATGGTGTTATTACAGGGAAGAGAACGGTATGCTCACCCAACTAGTATTCCATGCATTGGATATTCAACCCAATGGACTATGACATTGATACATGCCACCTAATCACACTGACCTCAGGTTATTTTTCCTTCCTCTAGCAGGGGCATTGCTTCTATCAAATTGTTTATCATTATCTTCAGATGTTGAGAATAACTCCCACAGCAAAACCATGACAACTTGTTTTCTACTGACCAAGCTTTAGGAAGCTTTCTATTTTAAGAAAAACTTAGAGGAATTCTTTCTGTTCAGATCAATGACTTTGCAGATTGTTAACTTACTCTGCTGACAATGGCAAAGCCAACATTAGGCCTTTTGTGATTTACATAAATTCAGGCTGCCCATGCCAAAGAATGATAAACATCTGAATAAAAAACACATTGTGAAGACACCACCTTGCTCAGGTTAACATGGACTACAGCACTTCCATGATTAATTTATCACATCTTCCCTGAATATGTACATGCTGTGTGCCATTTCATGTATGCTCCACTCACACTGAAGCTGTGACCTCCAGCCAAGAACTATGCAAGATGCATAGAAACTCTTCCTTTTCTACTTGGTCTTCCCAAAATCAGATCACAGAACAATAAATAAAGGAAACTTCGTCACAGCTATTTTACCATCAAGTTTCCAAGGCAGTGAAGAGTTCAGGTGAAGTCTGATGAATGACATGGATAGCTGTGGGATTTCAGCTCACATGGTGAACTCTAAGAAGGTAATGAGAGAGCAGCACAAGGCCACCATTTGACCAGCCTGGCTGCAGCAGCTTGGAGAAACTGAGACAAGTCTCAGCCCCATGAGCACCATGACTCAAGAGTCCAACTTTACATCTGGTTAAAACACACAAACCAAATGTGAAGTAAACAATCACCTGGACAAATGTTTTCTCCCCTTTACACAATTCTCTCATGGCAAGGGCAGGAGAAGATGGAGAATTTGTTCCTCCCCTGATTTTAAAATAATAGGGCTGCAAGGCAGACTTTCTCTGTGAGGGTCACTGTGCTCTGTCATTTATTCTCAACTTGGTTAAAAATAGAATGAATCTGTTAGTCATATGAAAGCTGTTGTGAGTGAGTGTTGCCCTGAGGATACAGAAACAAGATGAAAGCAAGAGTATTGGGAGAATTACATGCATCTGAGTAACTGTTTCAGGCTCTCCAAAAGCTCATACTCAGTGGTTTACTGAATATTGGAAGGATTTTGCTATAGCTGAGGGGCTAGAGACACATTTCTTTTAAACAGAGGCTTGGATTCCATACAGCATGCATATGTCATTTATGCTTCATAAATAAGTAACAAAGACTGGATCTGGACTCCTGTTACTTCTAATTTATGCAGTACTTTGCATAACAATATACCAGTGCCAGTAAGATATCTGAAGTAATTGCAAGGAAAATAATAAATGGTAATTTGATCAGTAAAAAGCTACCTCGGTAGGAGACCTGGTGCTGCTGGCGGAGTCATTCCAAATTCCATGTATCTCTGTCAGGAGAATGAAAAAAACCACCAAATTAAAATCAAAATTCATACCTTGGGAACTCCACAGTCAGTCTTTTAAATGATGAATGGCAGAGATCACTAAGTCTGTATGTAGGACTTGATGGCAGCCATAAGAATTCAAGTTTTACAAACAAAGGAGCACAAGAAGATCTGGGAATCACTGCTACAGCAGCTACAGTCTCTTCTGTAAGAGCAGTCTTAATTTAAAAACCTTACAGAAATACTTTTTTACAGTTGCAGAAGATCAAGAGCTGCTCCAATATCTACTTAGCAAAAAGCCAACCTTGGCATTTGGAAATCTCTTTTGACCTCAAAAAGCATCAGACTGCAGCAGAGAGACCACAGGGTTCAGATTCATCAGAACTTATCATGACCTACAGGATTATCCATGTGTTTCAGAGCTCCATCAAAACAAAAAAATCATACACAGAAACACTGCTTCCCTATCCCTCATTTCCTGAAAGCTTTTGGATATCCTGCGGAAAAATATGACCTATGCTACATGCATTCTTTTTTTCATTGTCAAAATAGGAACTACCACACATTCTAAAAAGAAAGAAAAAGAAAAAAAAAGAAAAAAAAAGGAAAAAAAGGAAAAAAAGGAAAAAAAGGAAAAAAAGGAAAAAAAGGAAAAAAGGAAAAAAAAGAAAAAAAGAAGAAAAAAAAAGGAAAAAAAGAAAAAAGGAAAAAAAGGAAAAATTTTAACTCTCAGACACAGCAAGACTGACTTGTGAAAAATCCTAACTGAGAAGAACTGAAATGATCAAATTATCCTGAAGGAAATGAGATGGGAAAAGGGAAAAGAAACCAAACAGCTCAGAAAGCAAGTTCACTATCTTGTGACAGTCATTTCTGAATTCTCCTTGTTCCAGGAACGTTCTAGTTTGTGCTAAGCCCTGACAGCAAGGGCATAACAGCAGCGGCTGTGGCTCCAGTGGCGCCAACTCCCTGCCCAGAGATGCCTTTAGAACTGCATCCCAAATAAACACCTGAGATGTTACCTGCCCAGTGTTGTGGTGTGATGTCATGGTTTGTCTCAGATACCTTGGGTTTCTCCCTGCAGATTAATTCCCCAGGTGTGTGAGCCACCTCTCCCTCCTCCACCCTGACACCTGCTGAGCACTGTCTGTCAATCCTGGCATTCCAGAAGGGCAGAATTCAAAAGATGCCTTTCAGCCCTGGAGGACATTGGGGCATCCAGGTGTCACTTTCCCCTTGAGACTTCTCACCTGGTTGGTAGCCCCCCGTGCCCCTTCCCTCCCCATCTCCCTGGGGTTAAAAGACACAGCAACCACATGGTTCACGGGTTCTGTTGGAGCTGTTGCTGGATTCAGAGGCCTGTGGGCCAGGAAGAAAGCTCTGGATCAAAACCCTCCATCCGAACTGATTCTGTTCCTTCACCATTGCCTTAAAGCTTCTCTGCCAGGGATAAACCTGAACTCCTGCATGCCTGGACTTGTCCCAAGCACCCAGCTGCAACACCCAGATAGCCAAAAGGGTCTCTGAAGTGAAACCACCACAGTTGCCACCTTTGGTCAAGCAGCAAGGGCCGGACTGGTATTACAATACCAATAATATTGGTATTATTCCAACAGCCCAGCCGGGCCCGAGGCAGTCCCTCCCTCCCTGCCCCTCACCGGCTGTGCTGCGGAGCCCCCGGGCGCAGGCACGGCGTTGGAGCTGGCCTGGCTGCTGGGAGCCACCAGGGCGAAGGCGTCGTCCAGCAGGGAGTGCATGGTCTGGCGCGCCTCCTCGATGGACGGCTGCGGTGGCACGTACTGCGGCACGGCGTGCGCCGGCAGCCCCGCCAGCTTGCCCACCTCCGCCGAGGATGACGTCTGCGGCTCCGCTGGCAGGTCTGGGTCCGACTGCAGGAGACAGAAGGAAGGTGAAGGGCAGCCACAGAGAAAGTCTAGCTGGCTTCCAAGCCCCTGTGGGCCTTCAGGCTGAGCAACAGTCTTGGCCAAAATCACGTCATGTGCCCTTACCCTCCCTGCTGCTGCATGCACATATCCAACACCAAACACTTCATTCAACACTCCAACACTTCATTCAGTGTAGTCTGAAGGACTCTGTGACTGTGTTCACAGGAGTCTTAAGATGAAAAAAGAGATGAAGATCTGACTCCATGTTTCAGAAGACTTGATTTTTATTTTATAATATATATTATGTTAAAACTATACTAAAAAATAGAAAAAAATTTCATCAGAAAGCCAGCTTAAAAAGAAAAAAAAAAAAAAAAGATAACAAAAGCTTGTGGCTCGGACTCTCTGTCCGAGCCAGCTCACAGTGATTGGCCATTAATTAGAAATAACTAACATGGGCCAATCAAAGATCCACCTGTTGCGTTCCACAGCAGCAGATAATCAATGTTTACATTTTGTTCTTGAGGCCTCTCAACTTCTCAAAAGGAAAAATCCTAAAAAAAGGATTTTTCATGAAAAGATGTCTGTGACAGGACTCTGATCTCCGGTAAGGCAGCAGAGCTTTGGGCAGGAGTTACTCAGCTATAACAGAAATCTTGTGGTTTGCAACCACGTAATGAAGTCATGCAGAGAGCATTTCTCCACCCAGAAGAAAACCAATCATCTCTATCTACATCTATCACTTTGCAGCTTTTGCAATTCTAAGAAATTAATCCAATCTTTAGCTTATAACTGACCACACCAGCAGTAACATTAAACAATTATCACCTCCTAGAAAAAGGCAGAAAGGAAGCTGTTAAGGAACTAAGTGGTAACCTGCATGGAGCTTGAACTTGGGTGCATCACCTGAATGGGATTCATGTAAGTTCTTCATTGCAGCAATACCTTAGGCATGCATCATAATTACTACCTGGGATCTTACCACATGGGCTTATTGTTCATCAGTGAGAGGAAATTAAACGAGCTTTACAGCAGCAGACTTATTATCAGAGCTCATTCTTACCACTGCATGCAGACTGCAAAATCAGTTGTCAAGAGGCACAAGCCTCTACTTTATTAGGAACTTAGCATTCCGAGCAGTCTCACTGCAGATGCCAAAGGGGCTGAGCCTGCTGTGTGCCATGTCTTAATTAAACAGCTTCAGATGATAATTCATTCTACTGCAGCATGACATTAAAATCATCACACTCATGTCTGAAGGCAAAGGGAAACTGCAGAAATTGACATCAGAGTCACCTGACCACATAAGCAGCTAACAGTGAAATTCTTAAAATTATTAAACCATCTTTAAAGATAAGAACTGTCCAGGGGCTTCCAATATTAGCATTTGGCTTCATGGAATCTGCTTAGAAGTGGTTAAAGATGCCTAAGTGCTGTTTGTGACATGGATATGATTGAACAGAAGTATTCTCCAGTGCCTTTCTTTTTTTAGATGTGAGACAAAATTAATTTTCAGGACATTGCACTAGAATTGTTTCAAGTTACTGTAGTACAAAGATGTGTTTCTCTATCATTAATAATTAATTGCTGCATTTGAAACACGAGAAAATTTCTCACAAAAAGACCTGAGTCTTCCACTCTGTAAGAGCAAAGGATTAAATTTGCTGTAATATATGAATATATAACATCCAGCAAATTGGACTAGAGCGAAACTATGTTCAAGATATTGTGGAACATGTCAAGCACACTTTCATGTGCATAACACAGTGGCATTAATGAAAACAAGGCTTTGGTTCTTGGCCTCTGTAATGTCAAGGAATATTCAGCAGAATTTTACTGCTTAAAAATGACAGACTGTCAATGAAATCCTTATTTCACTTTGATTTACATGCTAACTGCATGACTGAAACTAACCACATCATATGGACCACAAACAGAAGGCCAAAAACCTGCCAGTGTCACAGCTGTCATCATTATCAGAACAGTCCTCCCATTCAAGAGACATACATACAATATATGCAGAATTATTGACTCCTGGAGGCCTTTTGTATGTGCCATCACTGTCAGTTGTGATTAACCTGTCCTTTTCAGCATCAATTGGGCTCCCATTTATCTGATGGCGACGGCGCTGCTTGGGAGAACGTTTTGCACGAGAACTTAACAGGAAAAGAAACAAAAAGCAAAGAGAGAGAGAGAGAGAGAGAGAGAGAAAGGTAATCACAATTATTCTTGAAATTTTTCTTCTCGAGCTAGAACTCCTCTGCTCATTTCCTCCAAGTCATCCTTGCCTCAGCCCCGTTTCTCTTCCCTTCCCCAGTTTTTCATTCCTCAAGCTTCTCTTAGTAACGCTCTCATTGACAACTCTCTGAAGTATCCCATTCTTCCCCTAAATTCTGTCCAGAGTCACTTCCCTCCTACATTGACCTGTCCAGGTTGCCTGTGTTCCAGCTCCCCAGCCCAATGTGTGACACATCTGCAGCTGCAGAACAGATCACACTGCCAACAAAGCTTTGTGTTTGGTAAAGAGGGTTTAACCCCACCATGCAAACCAGCTGAGGAACCCACAGCCTGGAAAAAAGCTACTTTCTATCAGTGCAGAAGCACCCACTGGGCACCAGTGCTCCAGGAACACAGTGCCTGTATTCATAAGCTTGAAACAGAACACAGGGAAAACTCTCTGCAAATACAAGGCCAGGAAGGCAGATCTGTGAAGCTGAGAGATGTGCCTTATAACCTTTTATGTAATCCCTCTGGGTAATCTCACTGATTTGTGAATTTGCCTTTAATATTCAGAATCTTTATGCTTTTTAGGTTGTTCAAGGTTTTCCTTATTTTACATATTCCTCTCCCCCCGCCCCCTGCTTTATAAAAATATTATTACTTGCTGGTTATATTACTTGCATATATATTACTTGCAGGTTTCTTTTTTAGTGCTGATATTGCAATTCTGATCCCTCTACACCACAAAAGAATTATTCAAACAAATGGCAGAGCAAATACTAAATTGTTTTAAGACTGTTTTCATACATTTGGGCTTATTTATCAAGAATTCACTGCTGAGAATTTGTAAAAACATAATTTGAAATCAAAACATTGTGGCATGTACTGAAATAAATAAAAGTGTCTAGAACACCCCAATCCTTTTCACCTAGATAAATTCAACTAGTGATCAAAATGATTTCCAGCTCTGACAGTTAAGATGTAGTTTTAATGTAGTTAAGATGTAGTTTTAGATGACAGCTTTGATGCAGTTTGGGCACTGACTCTGAAAGAAAATTGCTCATTCCATCTTTGAAACCCCTACCTCTTCCTGGGCTCTATGAAGACGGTAGGCACACTGCCTCCAGGGTCCAAGATCTTGTCAATCTGCATCTGTGCCTTGCGATATATCCTGTGCTGCTCCTTGGAGTCAAGCACCACCACGTCATCCACCACTGGGAACTCATAGTGGCCCTTGCGCTTGGCGCGGAGGCGGATCTTATTGCGGTGGTGCTCGATCTCGGATTTGTGCCTCAGGGCTGTTTGTATCTGCAGGAAGGACAAGGAGAAAAAAAAAGAGAGGAATATTTTTGTAGTTATATACTTTTCAAACTGGATTTTGCTGCTCTTCTGTAAAGCTCTCCTCCCCACCTCTCTGCCTGCCCCTGCCTCCCTCCCCCAAATCTCTTTAGGACTAAAATAAGTCACACGATTTATGAGCACACTTTGCTTCCTGGATATTTTGCAGTCCCCCCATTGTCTCCCCAGGTAGATGTACTATTACACACAGCGTGATTGCCAGCACAGCAGGTGCAATTAGAGGGAAGTGGCAGTTTGTTAATAAAAGGAGGAACACAAAAAACTCCTCCTGTCTGCCAGACATAACATTGCTCTGAAAAGATAAGACTAACCAGTCCATAGTTAGCTATGCTAGGCAAACAGATCAACAGGGTTTAAATCTGCCACCCTTTCCCTTGAATGACCTTCATCACATAAGAAGCAAGAACTTCAAGAGCCAACTGAGCTCATAACTCAGTGCCTCTGCTGTGCCATATGCTATGCAGGAACACAGCAGCAACACAAGGGTCCAGATACTCATCTGAACATGGCACTATCAGCTCTACATCATCCTGTAGGCTGAGTTTTCATACCTCTCTCCCACCTCTTCAAATTTCAAGGAGTACATGTCATTATCTGGGTAAAGCTGTTGTAACACCACAATTGTAAGTCCTGGCCCAAAACCCACTCAAATGATTCTTATCACTGGTAAACACTTGAGCACCAGATTAGGTAGCAACTACTGCCCTGCCTGTGCTGGACTAGTTCTGGAACACATCAGGAAATTAAGAACCAAATAAAAATTGATTTTGGTGTATTCTCTCATGAAAATCTGAAAAAATAAAAGCATATAGAGGACAGAAGTCAGATTTGTTCTTTATGCTTATAGTTGGAATCATATGTCTTCTGCCCATACAGACAGATTTCTGTTTTGTGGCTCCTCCTGCCTCTGTATCCTAGATAGAAATATCTGCCTCTCTTCAGTAAGGTACTGAGAAACACAGATTCTTGACAAAGTTACACCTTTGAGTAATCAAAATTCAGTTACAGCTTTGAGTAATCTTCCACTCTGAATTATGAAAAAATGTTATCTCACACCAAACCAGGATGCAGGTAGGTGCTACTGTCAGGCAGTGTATGATGTGAGTTTATGGTGCATCACCTCTCCTCATGCCCCAGACGTGCTCATATTCTGCTAATAGTAACATGAGCCTCAGAGAAAGCAGGAAATTTTGTCTGTTTACTGTCAGCTAAACACATTAGAAGTTGAAAGCAATGAACTGGGCTGCAAATTCATACCCCAGAATGTTTTGAGATAACTTCTTTTCATAACCAACATCCTGAGTCCAGAAAAGTAAAAGAATAGTGTAGAATGAAAACCAAGGTGAGCCATATGTTCCAATTCTCACACATTAATTAGCACAACATTGTCTTTTAGTCATGTCTTTAAGTCATGTCCTAAGTAGCAAAAGTATGCTAACACAAGGGTATCCTGACCATCAGATCCTCTCTGTGTTCATATTTTGGTTTAGGTATATCTTAAAAACAGGTCAGATAATTTCTCTGGATGGAAACAGGATTATTCCTGTAACTAGCCAAGGAATTCACAAGGAACTCCTGATAACAAGAAACTGGCTACTTTTCACTTGGCTAGGCAGAGAATCCTCCAAAACCATGCAAAGCCCTTTCAGAAATACCTCTTTATTGATTTTGTTGGTCTCTGCCACCCGATCGGAGAGCACGGAGTTCTGGACCGGAGGGGCTGCCATGGGCTGCATGGCAATCAGCTGAATCTTGCTTGGGACACGTCTGCTGGCATCTGAGGAACGGGACATCCTATCCACATGCTCAAAGATGGAGGCTGAGGAGTGCTGCTCGTTTCCACTGCTGGTCTGAGGAGGTCCTAAATGATCAGAACCAATACAGAGTGAAGCAGTGCTGCCAGGGTTAGCACAGTCAAGTGTTAAGCTCTACAGATGCTGTGCTACAAAACTGTGCCCTGCTCTCCATCTGTGTCTAATTTGCCCTACAGGCCTTCCAGCTGACTCACATTTAGTGTACAACAAGTTTACCCCGTGGTTTGCAAATTATAAACATTTTCCCATTATATTTCCAGAAGGTGAGCTGTCATTCTTTATTTCTGTAAATCAAGCTCTTGACACTTGCAAACCCCCAAAATCTCAATCTACTTTCCTGCATAAAAAGCTGTTTAAGTACATTCTGCTAATGATTCCTCTTATCAGTACTTAAGGAGATGCAAATTGCTCAAATGGGGGTTCAAAGAGCAATGAAAGATGTCTCAATGCAAAATGCATTTCTTAAGTGATAGGAGTGATACAGGAACCAACAAAAAGCCCCTTAGAAATCTGCACAAAACACAAAGAATTTTACAGACATTTTACTGATTAATGCTTTTAAAGCAGATTTTTTTTCTCTGTGACAAGATAAATAGTCACATAATAATAAGCAAGCTGCATTAATACTGTCATGTTGTAATTTCTTGAAGAGGTTAAACCAACTCGAATACAATCAGCAAAAGACATTACAGAAACAAATATGCATGGAAGTGCACCCAGGTCCTGCCAACAGTTAATTACTTCAATAGAAATGGGTCATCTCCCTCAAAAGACTTGAAACCTACAGGATCACCCCAGTGATTTGCAGTTAAGCACAGATTTAGCAATTTTTTTTCTGAGTTAGACCTAATTCAGAAACTGTTATGCAGATGAGGCTTGCAAAAGCTACTGAAAACTTTCAAAATAAACTTTTGTCTTATCCATGTGATAAAGCCACATTCTCAAACTGCTTTTCACCATGAAATACAAGCAATGAGAGATCAAGACTCGTGACTCTCCTTATGAAGCAACACAACAGTGTTGAGGGACATAGTCCCACATCTTCCCACAGATGTCTAATAAGGAGATGTGGTTCTCAGTATTCAAATCAGGAGGAAAATCTAATTTGCTCTGATACAGAATCAATTGCTGATCAACATGATCCACCTACAACAGACAGGAAGGGAAATGAAACAGGCCCTGCTGTGATCCTGTTGCAACATGTGCTGGTAAGACAGGATAGGGTTTGGAAGAGGAGTGAATCTTATCTTCAGTGGAAGGTCACAGTAGATGACTTGCTCCTTTGTCTCTTCCAGCACAACAAGGGAGCAGGAAAAGAAAGGGATAGTATACTTTAAATATTCACAGCATACTACTTTTGGGCTGGAAAGCAGCCTGGCCACAAGTTAAGCAAAATTCTATGCTATCTCTATTCCTATTTCTATTCCTATTTCTCAGACTTGATCAAAGCATTGTCAAACATACACATTTACAAAAGGCATGCATCATTTATAAATGTGATTTCTCTGTACAAGTGTTCTTAAAAAGAAGGTAAACAGCTCCATTCAAGACCTCTGTGTCCCAAATGTTTTGCAAGACACAAAGCCTCAATGAAACATATCCCTCTCTTTTCTGTAGCTGTTTGTATTATCTTAACCCTTTGTTGCCTTCACAGCCCCATCTTCATGCACCTCTCAGAAGTGTGCAAGCACTGCCTCTCATAGAAAAGGGCACAAGATATATTAGGGAGTTAGTGTGAACCCCTCAGAGCAATCATGTAGTCAATAGAAATCTGAACTTCTGCATTCATCTTCAAATTACTAAATTTTTTCCTCACCTTTTCACTCTATCAGCCACTCCCAGGCTCACTGACCTCCAACATAAAATTGTAAGGGTATTTTTGTATTACTTGGTTAGCAAGGTCCAATATTTTCAATTACACTGAGCATTCACTCTGAATCTTTGTAATTTCATCCCTAATTTTCCCTTGTACACACATAAACAAATGCTGGGCTGGAGCTTCTTAGCTGCAAAGGGTTCTTAAGCTCATTTGGTAAAACAGAAGTCCCACTGAAATTTTGGTAAGGCTTTACAGTAACATTGCATGTTACTCCTTTTTACAGAAAAGATAAACACAAAAACCCCTCATAAGCTGCATAAGACCTTTAAATCCTCTCTGTGGGTCTGCACTCAATGTGTCTATAAATACAAACCAAGATGGAAGAACAGAAAAGTAGATGAAGTCAGGAACAGAGTAACACTGTATACATACAACAAAAAGAGAAATGGTTTCTAACCCAACCTAAGAATGAGGTCCTGAAGAAGTTCTGATAGAGAATAAGCACAACTTCTCATTTCAAAGGTCTTATATTACACTACTATTCCCATTTAGAAAATCTTCCTTATAAAGCTATTGGATGGCACTACATGAATGAAATTTTGATTTCAGAATAATTCAGTTGAGGCTGAAGAATAATGGAGAGGTATCTAATACCCCAGTACTGGGCAGATCATGTTTTAACAACCAGTCCATACAGGTCACATGCCAGGATCAGTGTCCATCACTGCTCCCTGAGTTGAAACCATTTACTGAAATGTCAGGAAGCTGTGATTTCACATGAAAACCAAAACAGCTCGAGACAGAGAAAGGTTACTGCCCCCTTGAGAGACACAGCAACCAAGGTGCATAAGGCCTCATCCAAAATCAGATAACGTCCATGGGATCCTTCAACTCATCCACTGGTATCTTAACCATGCCAGAATATGCAATTAAGAGATAAATGTCACACAGTTTGTATCCCCGTAGGTGACATCCCTAGGATGCAGCTGATGACTCATTACACCAGTGGAAAGCAGCAGAGCACAGAAGGACAGACAGAGGGGTGGCTGCTCTAAGATGGTCCGTGCTATCAGAGGACACAATCCTTATTTTATCACTAGATGTGTTATACATTATCAAAGACAGCAGCAGCTTTCTCCTGCCCTATGTTTGCCATGTCTCAATCCTGGCAGAGAAAACAAGAGTTCACAACAAAATATCTATGCTTCTTTGCAGGTTCAGTTCATATTTTTCTTGGGCTCCAGTTAATTAATCCTACATTAATTCTAATATTATCTCCAACTTGTTTCTACAAAGCTGTTTTCAGGACCAACAGCTGCATTAGTTTTGCTTCTTTCACAGTGATGTTTTCCTCAATAATTTGAAAGAATTGGGAGGAAAAAAATTAGAAAAATGTGCTGGATTACTATAATTTGTGTTACTGAGATTTTTTTATGCTTCAATAGCTCAAAAGCAATTTTATTTTCTTAGACTCAGAAGACAAACTCTTCCATCCTTAAGACATAATTGCAGTTACCCCAACACCCCTATTCATATTTGTACTCAACTACCAGCTCTGGTTACTTACCCACTCTGTTTGCTCCTGACAACATAAAGGAAAAAGAAGAGACAACACAGTAATTATGACAAGCAATTTAGCTAGAATGGCAACTGGAAAAAAAAACCACAGCAGTAAGATGACTGCATTTACTTTTGAATGAAATGCATGAACTTGGATCAGGCTGCCAAATCTCAGCTGCACAAAAAAGGAACTGAATCTCCCATTTAGTAGAGAGCTCTCTGCAGACACTGCCTCAAATTCTGAATGCTAAGAATAGTCCCTATGATTTGCAAACTAGGGGCACCAAATGCTGAAAAAATAGTGCATTTTACCCAGTGAGGGCATGATAGGTAGAAAGGACACATTTTACACAGTCTCCTTGCTGCCTTTACCAGGTAATTCAGGTGCAGCAACATGAAACATTTCTACACCAAAAGGAGATGTTAAATGTTACATAAAGTTTTAAGCCAGACAGAAAAAGAAGAGATGAATCTGGAGTTCTCAGGTAAACAGAAATGGGAGAACACTAAAACAGAGCATCAGAATTCAAGTCAGATAGGGTGGAGGAACTCAATCCCTTTTGAGATGTTTTCCCATATTTTCAAATATATAAATATATCCAATATATATCTATTAATCCAATATATATCTACATCTAAAATATATCTATTTTAGAGTACTTCCAAGAAAAATAGTGGCACTTTAACTGGAAACAAGATGGTTCTTTATTAAAAAATACCAGTGCTATTTACACAGCAGCATTGAATTTTGATCTTTCTAATGTACAATCACGCAGGCATTTTGATTATTTAATTACAACTCATTTGTAAAACTTTGATTTTTCTGCTGTCTTTTTTTTTTTTCATGTCACTTTTTCAAAGTTACTGTTACAGACACACCCCCGTGGTCTGAAGTCCTGCTGTGACCTCTGCTGCCCACGTAACTGTCTGCAGTTCTGCTACCATGGGAGACTCAAGAGTTGCTGGGGCTGTGTGAGGGACAAAAGGAGGAAAGATTCATTCCTGCTAAGCCATTTGTTTCAAAAGCTTGCTGGAATGAAAGGAATGTACAGCTTCCCAGTTTCAACAGAAGAAACTAAACCAAATATGAAGGGATTTTGTGCGGCTAGGAGCAAAAAAATCAGCGGCCAAAGATGAGTTTAGGAAAGTTACAGCACCAAAGTACCTCTTCAGCCTGAGTAAAGCACCAAAGCACACAAAGAGGGGGAAAAAAAAAGGAAACAAACCCTTCTTCACTGCTCTGCGTGGCTTGCCCTCGTTTGCAGCAGTTGATGGCCTTGCACTTTCCTCTCCGGTCTCTCTCCCGCTGGATTGTTCACTTGCTGTGGATTCAGCATCTGACGGCGAAATTCTGCCACAAACACAACAAAACAAACAAACCAACATGTAACACAAATTTGCAAGGGGGCATATTTGTCACACACAAAGAATCCTGTGCTAAAACACCTTGTGAAGTCTGCTAAAATTTTCCTCTTTTTGTAAGTAAATGTATAATGCATTACCATAGCTAGATATTCATTGTCAAGATGCTACTGTTGTGTGTGAAAAATGACTGCAACACAGTTCACATGTGACAATATTATGAAGTAATCTTTCCTTTAAAATACACTACAAGAAAAAGCTCTGCATTTGTAGCTAACAATTTACCTCTCAGAACGAAAATAATTGTATTAGGAATATGAAACCCACATAAGTAACTAGTCTAACATTGAATATGAAACCCACATAAGTAACTAGTCTAACGTTAGGAATATGAAACCCACATAGGTAACTAGTCTAACATTCAGCCTTACCAACTTGGTGTTGTCTTGCTAACAATACAAATCTATGTGAATATTTCCCTGACTAGTCAAATGTAAGGCCATTCAAAAATGCTTCTTTTATGTATTTATTCCATGCAATCACAAGATTCTTAAGAACATTTGTTATCTAAAAAAACCACCATCTCAATCTCAGTGCTCACAGCTTTTGTAGGCAATACAGAAAAGTACCATGATCTTCAGCTGTAAAATTATTCTGATAATATATAAGTAGAAAAAAAACAGCGTCCACACCACTGCCTGACACCAAAGCCTATCTCTTCACATGGGATCAGCCTTTGTGATAGTGTCTCTAACTACCACTTTCACTCATATTCTATTGTGGCAGGGAGTTAATCATGGAGAGTGTGCACATGTCTGTGCACCAACCTTATTAGTGCAGGATTTTCTTGGGCTAGATGGGTGTATCTGAACTGGTTACTGAGGCTCTTGGCTAAACATCAACCTGCCTAGAGCACCCAGAATAAGATAACCATATGCAGCCTGACAAGTCTAGTGAAGTTAAATCTACTTCTTGCAGCTCTGAATTCAACTTCCCTTTTTCTCCTCCCTGAACAATGCCCTGATCTGCAGGACTGCAGTACTAATGTCACATCCCAATTAAAAAAAAATAATACCAGGGAAAAGAGGATAAATGGTCCCCAATGAGCTTAGAGATCTGCATCACTGCATCTTTTCCTGTGGGGAGAGGGTGTGCAGAGCTATCACCTCCATCATCTTTGTCCTGGTTCAGCAGTGTGAGGCTGGAGCTCTGTGTCCAGATCTCCTACTGACTTTCTGTTTCACCTCATTGTGCTCTGCATTTCCCATGATACTCCTTTCTCAGCATATCCAAATTACCACAAAGTAATAGGAACATAAACAGAGTTGAGTCAACATCAGTCATTTCTTGTAAGTGATGAGGAATATGCACTTGTATACTCTCAAGTCAAAACAACAGGTCCAACTCCCAGCTGGAGCGCAGGGATGCTGAGCTTTCTGAACTCAGCTGTTCTTGTTTGCTGTTTCCTACAGACACAGAACGTGTACTCACATCACCACTAGATTTCCTGGCATGTAGCACACAATCCAGAGCTGAACTGTGATGAACTGAGCTCTGTATTTCCTCACAAAACATCAAGCAGCTAAACCCAACACAACACAGTATGATACCATTTCACATTTCAACTTCTGCCTGGGGGAATAAATGTTTCAAATCACAAGCTGACACGGGCATGTCGGCATGGCAGGGAGATGATGGCAGCATCTCCATGGCTAAGCCTAAAGGAAGATTTGTTCTCAAGGGAATATGAGGGAGAAGAGGGAGATTCTCTTCTGAAAACATTTCAAGTGTCTGAACTACAGGTCAGTCATTCTCACCTCTGTGCCTAGGGAGATCATGGAGCACATTGTCCTGGAAATGATGCCAAGGCACAGGAAAATAAAAAGGGGCTTGGTGACAGCCAGCATGCCTTCACTAAAGGCAAATCACACCTGAATTACTTGGTGGCCTCCTACTACAGTGCAACATTAGAATGTTGGCTTCTGAAATTTCTCCTGCTTAATCTCCTGAATTATTCTAGACAAAATACAGTAGGAACCTCAAATTTAAACTTATTTCTTTTGCTTATCTGCATATAAATATAGATGCCTTTCCTTCATCCACAATCATCTCTGTCCTAGGCTCCTTCTGAACTTTTAAAAAGAAACCCAGAAACGCTTGTCTTTCAGATTTATATTACTTTGTTTCAATTTATGTAAGCTACACCAAAACTAGTACAGCTCATTTTTCTTCCATTATATTCTAGTTTTGTCCACCTTCCACTGTACCACTGGCAGTCTTCTACTTACAAGGCCTGCAGGGATTTAGGAAGACAGGCTTAGCATCTAGAAGGGGGAAACTGAGCTTTATGAAGCCCACACAGAGAAGATGAAGCAAGGATCTTAAGACAGCTGGGATTTTAGAGGAGGCACAGAGGGCTGAACAGAGGAGCAAGCTGTGCTGCAGAGACCTGCAGCCCAGTCAGAATAACCATTAGTCTCTTTCTCAGCTCATCCTGCTCTTGATTGTTTTTTTTTTTTTTTCTCTGCCACTGTGCAGTACCACATAGATACAAGCACAGGGAATGCAGAGCTGGAGACAAAGAAGTGTGAGAGTGAGGGAGAGGAAGAAGAATCACTGGAAAGTGTAGTTCAGAGGGGGTCTTCTCAGGGTTCCATTTTTTTCCCCACTTTTTTTTTGTGCACAGATCCATCTCTACTGCACAGCTTTGTTAAATCATATATCCTACAAACACAATTTTTTCCAGCAAGGGACAGTCATATCATGTGATAATTGGAAAATGGTAGGAAAATTCTGGTGATGGTTGACAGACCCTTCTCCATTTGCACAGCAAATGCGAATTGCTGATGGTTTCAGACCCTTCTCCATTTGCACAGCAAATGTGAATTACCATTCCTTTTTCTGAATAAGACTCATTTGCTACAAGATCCCCGCAGATAATCGTAAATAACAATATCTCTGCATCTTCCCTGAATTTTGGAGATCTGACTCTTCACTCCTGTATTGATCACTATTAATGGGATGGAAACACATTACCTTTGTCAGTGGTTTCCATTTGATTTTAACCATTCGCTGGCTTAGTGGCTACAGATCACAAAGAGACTGCACTGGAAAACATACACTTGGTGTTTCCAGTGACCAATCAACTCACCTTAAATACCCCTCTTAACTGGGTATGCTCCCTTTAAAAGAAAAATGAACACTAAATTCTCACAACCTTGTACTAATGAATGGTGAGGTGTAACAGTGGTGGCTCACTAGAAAACGCGAGTTCCGGAGCTCTGGAACAGTTCTGAAATTGCCCTAAAAATACAGCAGCCCTTAATAAACTGTTGTCTGCTGCAATTTGTTTTTATCTCTGTGAACTGACCTCCCTCTGTGTCGAACAGTCTTTGAAGGCTTTGTGGAAGTCTTGGATTTGGGGCTGGGCACATCTCCGTTCTCGGATGGGGTTGTGTCCTTAATGGGTCCTGGTAAAGGAGCTGGCTCATGGATAATCAGGACATCATCTTTATTGTGCTGGCCCAGATGCTGCTTAGCAAAATCAAAGCCTTTCACACTGGGGGCCTGTAGCTGTGAGAAAAGAACAAAGACAAGAAACAGGAACAGTGAGTGACAATGAGTACAAAGGCTTGGTTCAGACCTGCAAACAATGGCCACTGAGAGGATGGCCAGGCCACGGCAGTCTCAGGAAGGAACACGAGAGCACCAGGGAAAAGAAAAAGAAACTCTCCACAATTCTGTCACCTCACTGCAGTATATGATGCACAGTTTAAAATTCCAAATCAATAAATGTAGTTAAAAACCAGACTTCTGATGCTGCTACTGGTTTTTAATGCTATTTCTTCCCATTTCATCATCATGTGAGGAGCTTTTTGTGTTCATATGAGTCCAAGGCTGTAGACACCTGTGTACAGACTGAAATGGCTACCACTACCAGGTCATATTTCCATTTCTTCCAGCCAAAATGGATGCAGGATTTTAAATAATTTGAATACTGTTACTGTTGATCTTTCTCATTTTGAGCTCCCCAAATCTGGGAGTGCTTGTACAAACACCTAGTTCATCTGATGAAAGACAAACACTCTGCAGATCCGACTTATACAGCAGCCTGGCAATGACTTGTCAGCTGGTATTGATGCCTCCAGAAAAATACTGAAAATCTCTTGGGAATTTCATACTGAACAGACAGAGAAATATACAAAAGGCTTTGGGATTTAGAGAAATTATCCTAAAGACCTTATTCAAAGGGAATCTTGCTTGAGAAAGACGCAGAATTCAGCCTTTTACTTTCATAACTGTATTTATAAAAAAGTTAATCTCATCTTATCAATTACTTGACTCAGACTTAATCAAGGTTCCAAGTTTCAAACTCTCTGCTTATTTTTGAGGGCTTTGGAGTAACTGGAAGATCTGAAGAACTAATTAAGAGAAAGTTTTTCCTCAAACCCCACTCAATTTTACGTCGCTTGGAAGTTGAAAGCAGAAAGAAACATTGACAACTCCAGCTTCTGAAGCACATGCACACTAAACCTGCTGCACACCACAGGCACACAATCCTCTGTGTGCTCCCAGAGCTGATTTCCTGCAAAGTGAAGCAAGTGCTGGAGTGCCTTGATGGGTGCGTCAGGTTCCAGATGTTTAAATGAACCCCTTCTCATAAATCTTGGCATGCCAGCACAGCTAACTGCAAACACACTCCTCTGATACCATGCCAAAGATAAGCTTGCCTAAGGAATATTCTGAAACAATCTCTTCAAAATATTTTCTCAGTAAGCAAACATTTTCCAAATGGTTCTTGCACTCGAGCAAGCTGCCTGTTTAAGCCAGTAGATGGCAATAAAAGCTCTTCTGTAAAAGCCACCAGTTTATCTGCTGAGGTTTTAGAGTTAATTTCTCACAAAATGAGTAAGCTCGTTATTCAAACAAATCTGGATGTCTTCTGCTATGTCCGTTTGTCCTGGGCTTCACAACAGTCCCTTCAATTCAGCATTATGGGTGATTTAGTTATTGAATTTATGCAAATAACTGCAACCACTGATCCAAAAAGGCACCAGGGAGCTACACTTGGTGAAGGTGTAACTGTATCTCCATTTTTTGAGTCATGGTCATCTTGTGAAGCCTTCCTGAAATTTTCTCCCCTTCAGATGTCAAACACTTCTCTTCAGGACATTGCTTACTTAATAAAACCTCTCCCCCAAAACCCTCCAAAAATCCCCATCCCCTCCTTTAAACACTTCCGAAGACAAACTTTTCACTTCTGCTGTCAGAATTATCAGGCCAGCCTGCAGCACTTTGTTTACTGAAACTTCTTAGCTACCCCACCTCACTTAGGGCCTGTCTGAGGGTATGTCCATTCTCCTAGAAGATATTCCTGTCTATGACACTCTTCCTTTGAACCTTTAGAGGCTTCCCTTATCACATCCTCTGTTTCACTACATTCCCCTCCACAGACTCCAGTCCCCTTTAGCCCCAAAATGATGACATTCTTCACCATATGCTAGGCACAATTCTTCCACAAATCAATCTGGTGGTTCTCTACCCTTTTCTTATCAACCTGCAAAGTTACCACTGGTTTTTGAATAGTGTGATGGGTGGGGTGAGGAAGGACAACTGAAGAGACAAACATTCCAGGAATATTGGAGTTATCAGGATGGTTTTACTAAGATGGCTGCATGTCTCAAGCATGAACTTTCAACCTATCTTGGAGTCATTCTAGCCAACTGAGTTTGGGAGTAAAAATCATACAAAAATATAGAATTTTCATTTTTTTTTTAAACTTTGAATAATCTTACTTGTAGTTGCAGTCCACCATGACCTTTTATCTAAGCACAGCCACAGGAACAGATATATTTATGTGTCCAGGCACATCTGCCACAACATATGTATGCATGAATGTTTATCTGCAGACAGACCACACAGCAGCAGAATTAAAAGGCTGTCAGTACTGCAGGGACCAGCACTCTCACTGTAAGATTATCTGAAACAACCACAACTGGATCCTCTCACACACAGGCGTTGCAATAAAGCCTTGAGTTAGAACACCATGAATTCAGTTCTTCCACAGAAACCCTCTTGGCTTCTTCCACCCTGCTGGATCCTTGGCACAGTCTGGGGCAGAATGTAAGAATGCTATTTGCAAAAGCAGGATCCCCATCTCATTTCACACAGAAGCTGGCAAACACCCACTTGAAAGGAGAAGGGGATGCAAGATGAGTCTTTTATGCATGTTTACAGCTAGGGTGGCTCAGACTTCAGGGTTTCATGGACACTTGCTGGCAACAGAGGACAGGCCAATCTCAGCTATCACCACCCCAGGCACCACAGAACCTATATTTTCCTTAAGTAGGAGCCAGGTAAACTCCTCAGCTGGTCCTACTCTTCCCTTGACAGGCAGGACCATTGTCTCTGCCCCACTCTCTTATCTCTTTCTCTTCCTGCCAGCTGACAACATCCAAGAACCTGAGGCTCATCAGTCTTTATACTTTTAACACCTGGAGTCATATAACAAGCTCTGTGTAACACAACAGAGGAAAAACCCTCTCACTTTATGGTACAGCTCTACAGACCTCATAAGCACAGAACTGGTGTAATCCTCTGACAATTTAACTGGTAAATCTATAACAGGGCTTTGTCAACCCCATGCAAACATTTTCCTAAACTTTTAAAACTTAAGCCAGAAACTGGCAGTCCCCCACAGAATCAGCAAAAGCATTTCCCTTACACCAAACAACCTTCTTGTTCTCTTTCCTTCAACAACCTACATGCCCCTAAGGCCCAGAATGTGCTCTAGAGCTTCTCCACGACAATTTTTAAAATTCAGACCGAGCATTTCATTTTCTCTTAACTTTGTTCTTTGGAAAAGAAACTCTCCTTCTCATCTTCAAAAATAGTTTCAGTATCAAACCAATACTTGAATGGAAATGGGCTGAATGTTTCAAGTCTCACAGAGTTCTGTACAGCCAAACATTTCTAGATATCTCCTGCTAAAAGAGTTCAGATGGCACTAGCAGCTCCAGTCAATACAAAGATTGTATGCATGTATATATGTGTTTGTGCACATGAATGAAAAAACATGATAGAAAAATACGACAATACATACATATACAACATGATACATGACTGAATACAGAAAGATGGTCCTCAAAAAATTATAAATTTGCTCATTAAAAATATTATTTGCAAAACAGAAATAATAATAGGATTATTACTGTAGAAATAACATTGACATAAGCCTGCTTTGTTTTCTGAAAAACACAATCTATGCTTCTCATACCTCTCCTTGTAGACCACAACAACATTATGACTTAACTGAGAAATGACAGCAGCCAAACTCCACACTTTCAGTGAGAAGTGTCTGAAGGACACCAAACCACAACTCTGCTTTTTTTTTAAAAAAAGACAGTCACATCACTGACTCAGTGAAATGAATGGTGTTACTCCTGACTGTTTCCAACGTTTTCTCAAAAATTTCTGTGTGCCACCTGCCGAGTTCTTTCTTTTCTTTAGATCAAGTTATGTAACAGGTTGTATCACCACTGCCCATCTTGGGACTGGTAGTCAGGACACCGTGTGTCGATCAGTCATCTACTACTCACATATTAATTACCACCAAGAAAAGAATGTGGTATCTTTTCTAGAGCACTTTTAAAGTCGTGCTGATATTGTTATTTGTTCAGGTACTGAAAATGAGCATTTCTTCACCAGCCTCAAGTGCCTTCACCCAGGACACTGCACAAAATCAGTCTTAACAAAGATTTCTTGATTTAAATGTAAGTTGTTAGAGGTTTTAATTTGTCTTTAATATACTTGTGAAAAAGAAAGAGATAAACTACTCTGAAGCTCACCACCTAAATGAACATGTCTAAATTACTGAATTCATAAGGAATTACATTAGTATACAAATGCAGAACCTGCCAAAATCTTAGAGGAAGATGATTTTATATTGCTAAGTGAAGAGTTTTTAATTCTACTGTTACATACTGAATGAAATAATAAGAAAAAAACCCCAAACCAGTATTTGAAGCTCAATTCACAGAAAAATCAAATAATTTCTGCAGAAGCCAACAAAATCTGTGCACCTCAGTCAATTCTTATTGCATAAAAGCAGGTAATAGTTTCAGTGTTGTTCAAGCCACTGAAATACAAAATGGTTGCCAATATATTGTTTTTTGGATGCAGAGACACACCAGGAATGTCAACAACCTGTCTTCAAGAAAGCAAATGCTGCTGTTCCACGAGTAATTTCAGCAGAAAGCAGAAGAAAAGAAATACACTTAACTCAGTGTTCTCCCTGTAGCTCCTACAAGCAGCATTTGAATTTGGACATAATATGAAGAATAATGTATTAAGACCATTTTCCACTGATTTTACACCATGGTCTTCCCTTGTTCCTTTAGAGCCAGCTGAATTGAGCAGAGGCTGTTAACATACATTTCTAAGGAAACACAGGAGCTAAGCATGTGCTTTAGTGTCAGTGCATAACCCATGAGCAGGACAAGAATCCCTATAAGTCAGTCCTGCTGACTTACCACCTTACTGTCATGCTAACATACTGAATGTTACTGGATAAA